GAAGGGAGAGGAAAAGGGGTGGGGATGGGGAAGGGGCGTTCAGTACTCTTTCTGATCAGCGGTTGATTTTTCAAAGAAAGTTGCCAAAGTAATATCAAAAGGGGGGGGGCGGGGCGGAGAGGGAGGAAGAGGGGCTGCTAGGAGGGCGGCTGGGGCGTGCTGGGCGCGGTACGACGCGAGCATTCGATGCAGATGTGGGGAGCGAACGCATCGTCAAGCTCCGCCCCCCCCCCTCCCCCCCCCCCAACACACACACATACACCAATCGACGCTCACGACGAAGGGGACACTCACATGCACGCCCCATCCCCAGCTTTGTTCCAACTTGGGAAAATACACTCCATCGCCGTAGCTTGCCGCTGCTTTTCCCTCCTTGTCAGACTTTGTACCGCGGGACAGGGGCGGGGTGCCAAAGGCGCGGGCGGGAGAGGGAGCATGAGGGGTGTGTGTGTGTGTGTGTGTGTGTGTGTGTGTGCGTGTTTGGGTGTTTGGGTGGTGGAGGAAGGGGAGGGAGCAGCCCTTTGAAAGAGTCAGCAAGTGCGAAATCACGCTGCCGCTGCCTGCGCCCCGCCCGCCATTCTTTCTTTCTTTCCTTCTCATTCGCCTCCAGCTCCCACCATGTCCTGGCTTGCGGGGAAAGTGGGGGTTCGCGAGAACATTGCGGAGGGTTGAAGCGGACGCGCCGCGCCTCCCCCTCCCCAACTCACGAGTAGAATAGCTTCCGCACGAGCTGGTCTGGCCCACCCTGCAAAAGTGGGCGAGACGCTCCTCCAAACGTTTTCCGGTTCCGAAGAGGCGAGACCTTCTTCTTGCGCCTCATCGTCTCTTTGCATCTCGCCCTTGCTGCTGCTGCTGCTGCTGCTGCTCTTTGAGCCGCCGCTGCCGCTGCCGCCGCCAACGCTGTCGGTGGTGGTGGTGCAATCGAGCAGAGGCGGTGCGCAAAGCTTCAAATTGAGCCATGAGGGAATGTGCGCGGTAAAGGCGGGAATGGGCAAGCTTGGCAGCCAGTTGCAGCAGCTGCTCGAAAGATGAGGAAAGAGTCTGGCAGCGAAAATCTCTTTGCCTTTGCTCTGCTGCTGCTGCTGCTGTTGCGTTCCCCCGACGGGCAGGTACACCCTGACGGTTTGCACTGCTGCTGAAGAGGTGCGAGCAGCAGGTTGCGACCATTCGAACAGCGCTCGATGTTTGGGTATGTTCCAATTTTTGCGACCATTGTAGACGGATGCGGTGCTGGAGACGTAGATGTTGGTGATGCGCAATGCTGCAATCAAGTTGGGCACTCACCAGTGAGCGCATGATCAGCGTGGGCGTGGGCGTGGGCGGGGGCGGGGGCGCTGCAGGGCAAAAAGAGCGAACTTGCGCGCCACCCTGCTGCTGCTGCTGCCCTGCTCTCTCACTCACCCGTATTGCCAGCACTGGGACTCTTGAAGAGTCCAGCGACGTATATGAGCTCATCATAAGGGCCCACGGGCGAATGCGTGTATCGATAAAGTATCCATCCCCCCGGTCCTCCTCTAAACTCGTCGGCGGCGGCGCGTATCTTGGCATTGTTCGCCTCGGTCTGCGTCTGCTGCTCATTCGAATGCGCTTCTTCAGCAGCACCTGATGATGCCAAAGCTAGAGCCAAAGGATGAAGCTTTTCGAGCGGATGAAAGGAGCCTGGTGAAAGTCCAGCTTTGGCCAATTGCTCGTCTCTGCTGCTGCTGGCCGCACCAGCAGCAGCATCCTCCTCCTCCTGCCTTTGAGCCAGCAGCACCTTGCTCTCACGTCGCACGTCCGCGATGCGTCGCGTGCTGGTCCAGTGAGGAAAGATCCACGATTCGGCTTGCAAAGTCCACGGCGCTGGCGTTCTGTGTACGCCCGCGGGCAGATCATCCTCCTCCTCCCGCCCATCATCCTCAGCGCGTCTTGATCGACGCATTTTAATCGATCTCCCAGCCTGAGCAGGTGCTTACGATGCGGCAACTTCTTGTGAGATGCGCCCCCCCTTCCCAAAGGTGTTACATGCCAGAGAAAGCGATTGAAGCGAACGGCGAGCTGAGGAGTCGCGCGGCACGATCGCGGATTGAATTGAATTGAATCGAATCGAGTTGTATAGCTCGATCGCCAAGCAAGAGTACGGTACCTGGACACATCATAGCCCGGCACCGGATCATAACCTGCCGCATAGCCGGAAACCGCTTGGAATTGCATGGGGGCCGATCGAGTGATCTGATCCACACATTTGATTCACATTCGATGATTCGATGATTCGTGAATCCGCGCGTCGCGTGATCCGCGCGCGTGATTTCTGACTCGTGACTCAATTGCGACTTGCAGAATTCGTCGAGAAGTCACGAGTCGAGTCGAGTCGAGTCGGCAATTTTGAATCGAATTGCCCGGCCCCGATCTCGACGTGTTGGTGCACGTGATCACCTCTTGTGTGCGTTTAATTTGGATCATCAGACACAAGACTCTTGACGCGTCGCGTCGCGTCGCGTCGCGGGCAATTCTACGATTTGTGGCAAGGTACGCGTTCGACTCACGACTGTACTCACTACTCACTACTACTGTACCCGCGCAAGGATGCGGCATTTATTCGCCCTTTCCCGCGTTGGCTATACCATGAAAGGCGTGCAGGGTGGTGATGGTATAATTGTGTAAATGTATGAGAATCGATCTGAATCTGTTCTGGTTCTGACATGACTCGGCTCTATATGCTCACACATGCATCATCACGACTGTATGAGCTCTTATCGCGCGCGCGCGCGCGCATCGGCCTCGCTTCCAAGCCACACTTAATTTACGCGCTCGAATAAACGAGTCGCAGCAATCAAGGTGGTGCTTATCTTTCGCGGCTGTCTGCTTGCTTGCCACGCCATGCTGCCCGGCATTCACCGTGCTGTCACGATTCAAAGCGTACAGTACAGGCAAGCTAGGCCATATTCACATTGCATGCATTCCTATTCTCCCCTTCGAATGAGCCATGCACCTTCTTTTGCCCCGCGCTCGCTCCCTTGAATTGAACTCGTGAGTTCGTGACTTGCTGCGCTCGACTTGCGCACAGGCAGCCCCCCCCCCCCCCCCCCCCCCCCCCCCCGCCTGGACGCTACCCGTGCCACGACTGTACATGGCGCACGAGTGGCTTGACCGACTGGCTGGCTGCGCTGGTGTCGGATGGTTATCATGCAGCGAGCGCAAGGGCGGGGCGCGGGTGGCCTGCATGTCCGGGATTTTTTTTCTCCCCTTTCTTGCATGCATGCACGCTGGAATGGAAGATGGGCCGCGGGCAGCAGCGATAAAATGGCCCGGCGAGGCGAGGCGAGTGAGCGAGCGAGTGCTGTGGTGTATGCGCATGCATGCACGTATCGTAGAGGTGCAAGGTACGACGCGCGCGGACGTGCAGATGCGTGGATGCAGCAGCAGTCAGAGTGCCGCTCGCTGGTGCAGCTCATGAAAATTTCTTCTTCTCAAAGGTCCTCAGCAATTGATTTGATTGGACGCGCGGGGGAATCGGAATGTTTTGTAATCTCTGGAAACAGTCACGAGTCACGAGTCACGAGTCATCAGAAGTCAGCAGCTTCGGTTGCTCGAATGCTTGGTTGCCTGCATGCTCGCCAGCTTGCTTGCTTTATTGCAGGCTGATGTTGCTGCATGGATGCTGCTGGTCTGGATGGCGGTCAATTAAGTCGTAGATAAGCTTTTGCGGCGCTGCTGCGCTATACATATACCGAGCAGCCAGCCATGCGCCCCCGCCCGCTCCATCCATCCTCCCTTCCCAACGCCTCCTCCGTGAATGTATAGCCGCCGCCGCGCGCATCATCGGACCCCTCATTCGTGATTTGGCGCTCGCGTTGGGGGCAAAGAAGAAAAGAAAAGATGACCTCGACCGTGCCTGATGGGCCCTGGCCCGCACACGACGCTTCGGCTCTGAGGAAGCTGTCGGACAAGCTGGATAGCTGGAGCGACAAGCTCAACAACAGCATCGCCACATCCGCAGTGGGTAGGTGGTTCAAGTTGGAAGGATGCGGACATCCATTGGAACGTAAAGGTGCCAAGTTCACCGTCGAAGTGCGAGCGGGCTTTGTCGTGAGTGGCAAGTGGCAGCGGCAGCGGCAGTGGCAGCGTGGAGACCGCCATCTTCTTCTTTGCTCATCTTGCTGCTCTGCCGCGCCTGTGCATGCATCCTCCACTTTTCGATTTCTCTTCGACGTCAAAATCGCGCCGCTGGCTGCTCCCCCCCGCTGGTTTTAGACATTTGCTGCCATGGCCTACATCTTATCGCTCAATCCCGCTATCGTGGGCTCCACAGGTGGACCTTGCACAGCTCCAGCCGGTGTAGACCGCTCGACGGATCAGACGTATCAGCTCTGCGTTCAGCGCGTTCGTCAAGAAGTGAGTCCAGTCGAGTCGCATCCTCCTCCTCCTCCTCCTCCTCCTCCTTATTGCCATGCCAAGCCGCGTCGCGCTGGAAAAAAAAAGCTTGCCTCGCTGCATGTGTTCGATCCGCATGAAAGCTGTCCCCATTCGCCGATTCGTGATTGCTAAACGTTTCCCACGATGCTTCCCCCGTGCCTGCTCTTACCCCTGCTGCTACTCTTGGATTTGGCCGCTTTCGCCCCCCGCCCTCGCCCCTCGCCTCCGCCCCCGCCCCCCCACAGTACGTGGTTACTACAGCCGCACTGGCCACACTGGCTACGTTTCTCATGGGTGCGCTAGCCAACTTGCCGCTAGGCCTAGCACCTGGCTTGGGTGTGAATGCCTACTTTGCCAGCGTCGTGGGTCAGTACGGTCAAGGCGGAACGATTGCGTACGGAGAAGCGCTAGCTGCAGTCTTTGTCGAGGGTGTCCTCTTCTTCTTCTTGTCCTTGATAGGCTTGCGACAGTGGTTGGGAAGGTTGATACCTAGAAGCTTGTCCTTGGCCACGGGTGTGGGCATCGGTCTATTCCTGGCCTTTATCGGCATTGGACCGGCGGGTATTGGGGTGGTGGGCGGACAGTACACCGACTTGGTTGGCTTGGGAGGCTGCCAAGACGCGTTCAAGGATGAGAATGGTTACTGTGAGTCGCTTCGCACTACCTCCGAGACGATATGCTGCTCCGACCGCTGACGGCCACGGCACTGCAACTTTCGCAGGTCAATCGCGCGTTCTGCAGTCGCCCAAGGTCTGGCTTGGAGTGTTTGGAGGCGGAGTGTTCACAGCCCTGCTGCTGCTCTACCGCGTTCGAGGAGCTTTCCTGTGGCCCATCTTGCTGGTGGCTATTGCCAGCTGGCCTCGCACCACCAACGTCACGCTCTTTCCGCACGACGATGGCGGTGTGGGCGATGCGGGTTTCCAGTTCTTCAAGCAGGTGGCCACTTGGACCGGTCTGGACCTCTTGGGACCACAGAACATCGAATGGTCAGGCCTGAGAAACGGCCACGCTTGGTTGGCCCTCATCTCTTTCCTGTACATCGACGCGCTGGACACCACCGGAACGCTCGTCGCCATGTCTCGAGCTGCTCAAGTCTACGACGAGCTCTCCAACGACTTTGAAGGTTCCTCCACCGCATTTCTCAGCGACAGCTTCAGCATCTCCATGGGAGCTTTGATGGGCTCATCCCCGTGCACAGCCTTTGTCGAGTCCGCTTCCGGCATTTCCGAAGGAGGCAGGACGGGCATCACGGCCATCACCACGAGCTTCCTCTTCTTCTTGTCCCTCTTCTTTGCCCCCATCTTCTCTAGCATACCTAGCTGGGCGACGGGCAGCACGCTCATCATCGTCGGATCCCTCATGGCAAAAAACGCAGCAGCTATCAATTGGGACTATGCGGGAGACGCCATTCCTGCCTTTCTGACCATCATTGGCATTCCCTTCATGTACAATATCGCGTACGGCTTGATTGCGGGTATTGTCAGCTTTATTCTGCTGCACAACATTCCGCTCTTGCTGGGCGCTATCCATCCCAAGCTGCTGCCTCCTGGATGGTCGGACCTCAAAGAACCATACAGCGTGGCCAGCACGCTGAAGCCCTCGTCCAAGATCGACGCTGAGCAACTGGTTGGCCTCAACTCTCCTCGCGGCAGCCTCAAGTCGGAAAAGGGTGAAGCGGACGTGGAGTTCGGATCAGAAGCAGCAGCAGCAGCAGATGCCGCGTTGGCTCATCAAGTCTCTCTACTTCAGAGAGATTTGCAATCTTGGCGAGCTTTCTTGCCTCCCTGGCTGCGCAAGCTTCTTCGCGGAGAGCGCAAATTCTGGGTCATGTCCGAGGGAGAAATCTCTTTGGCCCTGCATGGCCGACGAGTGACGGAGATGAGGAATCTCAACAGGGCTCAACAGGCCGCGAGGGATAGGGCCGAGCTGAGGGGGGAGATGAGACAGGGACCGCAGGAGGGGGGTTTGGTCGAGGATGTGCATTGGGCCGAAGAGGAGGAGAGGAGGAGAAGCAAGAGCAGAGGTAGAAGTCAGGCTAGGAGACCACGCGTCGCTGAACAAGATGCGATAGAGGAAGATCAAGAGGCGGAGCAAGGCGCAGCGAAGGAAAAGTCTGCTTGACATGACCCGCCAGCGCACACCGCCACACACTGCAACGGCAGCGCGCGCGATGTGCAGACAGACCATGGAGCTGTGAAGCCTTTTCGCCCCTCGTTCGATTGATGCATTGGTGTAAGAGACGATTCGTGTACAATCGCGTGAATGTTGTAGACAGCTAGTACCTCTGAGCTTGCAATGGATCGAATCGCGCCCAATCGTGATGACCGAATCACGCAGCTCGCACGCCCATCGTGCAGATTTGCCGCGTGCATGCACACGATAGACGCATGTGCAGGCTTGAGAGATCCCGCGGCATCGCGCGCTACGAAGAGCTTCATTTGTCAGTGCTGGTGCTGGCTGGTCGCCGTCTGCGCATCTCTTGAGCTCGCTTGCGCTCCTCCAATCCCATGCCAATGATTTCTCTGGCCCCTTTCCAGTCGCCGACATCGTACAAAGCACTGCTAAATGCTCTGACGAGCGGAGCAATGCGCTGTTCGTACTCGATCCATGGGCCGGCGCGATGCGAAGATGAGGCTGCCGCGACGGGGGGCTCGGATGAAGGGCTCAAAGTCGTGTGCTTGTCGTGAATGCGCGATGGAGGAATGCTGGATGCGCGAGCGAGCAAGGCCAGCAAAAGCGCTCGATCTTCCTGTTGCAGACTTTTGAGGGCGTCCAGGTCTACGCGCCCTTCCTTTGCAGCTGCAAGCTTGTGCGACGCTCGAGCGCCAGCGCCAGCGCAAGCTGCGTCGAGCTCGGCTCCCAGCTCCATGCCGACGCCATACAGAGCCTTGAGCAACCTTTTGGACCTGGTGCGTCGAGAGAGTCGGAGCAGGACGATGTTGAGCGTCACCCCGCTCGGTCGAAGCTCGAACTGGTCGAAGAGCTGAAATACTCGTTGAGCACGAAGCAAGGCGTGCGATTTGCGCGCTGCGATGCGCGCCGAGGGCGCAGACGATCGACGAAGTGACGGAGTGAAAAAGGCGGTCCTCTTTGCTCGCAAGGGCTGCAAAGTCGCACGAGAAGCAGCGAGCTCCCGTCGCGGTGGGGAGCTGCGAGACTCGCGCTGAATTCCCAACAGACTCCTCAATCGATCAGCGGCACTCTCGCTCTTGCCAACTTGACCTTGCACCAGCCCCGCGCGGGTTGTCAGAAGCCTCGAGAGCTCCCGCCTCCTCTTTGTGCGACTGGCCAGTGCGGCTCGAAGCAGGCAATTGATCAACAAGGTCCTCGTGTCGCGCAGGTGTTGCTTGCGATCTTCGACGCAGTCTTGCGCGTGGCTGGCAAGGACGCGCGAGACGTAGCCAAAAGCCAGCGCAAAATGTCCAGACCGAGTCATTGTTTGCACGATGCTGAGGTGCGAAGTTGTCGTTAAATAAGCCAAATTTGAAGAGTCCAACTCGGACGCTGCCGCATCGAAACTTGGCAATGCAAGTTTTGCTAGCCCTGCATTTGGCCTAGCCTCTTCCACGCTGCGCCGCTCTGCTTCAACAGAATCATATGCCTGCAAGTTCTTTGCCAACTCGAGATCCGCCTGTACCAAATCGAGCTGGACAGTCCTAGCATGAGACTTGAACCTCTTCTCCAACAGTCTTCTCATTTCCGTTCGTAGTCCGAAAGGCGCTCCGCTAGGTCGCGATTCTCGATGCAAGCTTGCAGGCGAGGAGCGAGATCCTAGCATAGCGCCATCCTCCGCGAAGTCCTGATCTGCGGAGTGAAAGAGCTCCGCGTAGTCCATCCACAGTCTGCTTGAGAGGTCGCATCTTGCTCGTGCGGCTGCATCTCTGAGCACAGCAGCCGGACTCATGATATGTCCACGTCCATGTTCCGTTGTCGCCCGCTCTTGGTCCTTCTGCGCGGGCCCCACGCGCAAGCACCATCTATCTGCCCGCTGAGCCGTGCAAGTTACTTCTAGTCGAATGTCCACCTCTGACCAAATCTCAAACACCGCTTCGTACATTTTGCGGGTTCTATGAGCAGGTCTGACAAGGTCGAGAATCTCCACTGCGTGCTTTCCGTTTGCTCTTCTGACCAAATTACTGATCGTCTTTTCGGTCGCCTTTTGTGAGGCCCAGTCTGGATCGACAGACTGGGCGCCTGGTCGCTGGATGGCAGTCGTCGGCGGGGTCCAAATGCCGGGCGTTGCAGCTGGCTCATTGCGAGAAGGCTCTGTTCGTCTCGACAAGGTATGGAGAGATGCGGCTTGGGCAGCGCTGGCGGCTCGGAGCGCCAAGTGAGGGAGCGGGGCGTTGGACAAGGCGAGCAAGAGCATGTGAAGCTCCGCTGCTGGTTCTTTCCGCGCTTTCGAATCGATGCTGCCCTCCGTCTTTGCTAGACGATCGGCAGTCGGCTCGCATGGTGCGACTCTATGCTTTGCGTCGACGTGCGAGGCGCTGCTCCAGGTGAGCAAAACACCGCTGCGAAGCAGCGCTTCTGCAGATTTGACAGCTTCCTCCCAAGCAGCGTTCCATCTTCGCCTCTTTTGCATTGCGCGCAATCCTCCTGGACGCCCTGCTTCGACGGCAAATGAGCGAGCGACACTCGAATCTTTGGCGCTTCCCTCCTCTAGCCTAGCGACGACTCTCCGGAAGAGGTACCTGGCTTGACTGGGCTTCAACCGCTGATCCTTGACGCAGAGCGCCGCATTCCGCATACCTTCGTCCTGAAGCCGCACAGAGGCCAAGAACTGCAGGCCAAAGTACGAGTGTAGGGTGCTCCTCTGCAGCTGCACAAGTCTCGGATTCTCCTTGAAAGTGGGCACGAAAGCTTGACCCACCTGAGACTCGTAGAGCGCCGAGATGCTGCGGATGGATGTACGGTCTTGTTGCGCGGTGTGCGTCATGCCGAGTTGCGCAGACCGCTGTATGCAGTGCGAAAAGATGAGCATACATGCTTCCTCGAATTTTGCCGCTGGCGTCAGCGTGCTTTCAGCTTGCCCATCGAGGTGCACACGAATGCCGAGCGAATGCAAGAGCCTGCTCGCTAGACTGGGCAAGTGCCTCGCCCCTCGGTCCACGCTCTCTGCAATCTTCTCCAGCTCCGCGCGCAGCTTTTCGGATGTGACGTCGTAGGACCATAGCCTGTCGTTGCTGCTTCTCAGCATGATCGGAGAGTCGCGAGATGCATAGGTGAGCTGATCCTTGAAGAAGTCATCGTAGTTGTCCACGCCGGCTGCAGGCGCTGAGATTCGGTGGTGGGACGTGGTCGTGATCGCAGCACCTTCAGAGGTGCCAAGCGGCTGTTGGTCGCCATAGCGAGCGCCTTTTGTTTCGTTCCTCTCTCGAATGCCGACGGAGGATCTGTGCTGCGATGCTCGCTGTTTCTGAGCTGCAAACTCTAGCGGGAGATGCGCATCGAGGGCGACGGCAGCTGCTCGCGAGGTCGAGGTGTGCCAGCCTCGCTGGCCAAGCACTCCACTTGCTCTCCCAGACGTCTCGTCGAGTGACGCAAGACGACTGCTGGGGCGCAGCACGCGACGCCAGGCTACCATTGCTGCGCTGCCGCTCATGGGCAAATGCTACGCTCAACCATTGTTCCCGCTGTATGCGCCTCTGCTAGGGTCGAGCAGCCTCGACAAGGTTCGAGGTGTATCGCCAGGCTGTTCGTGCTAGTTGCAATGGACAAGCAGCAAAGGATGGGACTCGGGCAGTGTGGCTGCTACGATGGTGACTGCAAAAGGTGAGCAGTCAGTGCTCTAATCTGTGCGGTGGTCATGAGCGAGTAGCGGTCGTCGCGCCCTCAACCTTCAAGAAGCGCGACTTCCAGCGAGTCACACACCAGCATATGCGCGCTAGCTGCAGCAGCTTCTTCGCGCGCTTGATCCCCAGCACCACGTGACCTGGTGAACTGTTCACGCGGGGAGAGACCTCTTCAACCAAAAACCGGCTCTATGCGTTGTATCGAGACCGTAAGAATCAAGGATCACGCATGGCGTGCAGAAGCAGCCAAAAGGGGGCCGAGCATAACATTCGTCATCGGCAGGGTATCTTGTAATAGATGGGATGAGGTGCTCGACACGGACGGAGAACGCGAGGCAGCTGGGCATGTAGCACTCTCCGCAAAATTGAGAAGGAGCGTCACTTTGACATGCCGAAGCTCCGGCAGCAGTCGGCGGTCACATGCTGAGGTTGTGCGCTCGTCACTGCCAGGGTCGAGCTTGAACGCCTCAAAATCCGAACGAGTCAAAGCTAAAGTCCTGAGCTCCTTGCTGTTGGGTAGCGGCGGACGAAGCCTTCATCAGGGAAGCCACCTTCTCTTTCTCTTTTACTTTCGCTTTGGTCTCTGGTGCCGTCTCGGGAGTCAAGGCGCCATCCCTTGTCAGCGAGGCATCCCTGGCCGCTGCGAAGCTACTCGATGCTCGCATCGCGCTCGACGAGGTTTGAGCGACCGGCGGTTGCACGTCGAGCAGCGATATAGCTCGTCGCTCTTGCCGCGGCTCTGAGGCCGTTGGCGAGATTGCGGATCCCTTCACTGCAGGAGTGACGGTCTCTGAACCAAGGCTAGCAGAAGTATCGGCCAGCTGCAGTGCAGCAAACAAACCTTCGCCAACGTCTTGCACAGGACCTCGCTCGATTGACGCAGTCGGCAATGGCTTTTGGGCGGCAAACTTCCACTCCCTCAAAAGTGCCAGACCGAGTGCGTGGCAGCCTGGCGAGCAAAGGGCGCGAGACGTGAGTAACATGATGTGCGCACAGCGGCCGCACGCGCGTGCATGTACTCACCTCGGCGCTCTAACAGGTAGCACAGGTGTCTTACGTATCCCATCTGGCCGCCGCGCGGCTCAGCGGACGACGAGACACGCAGCTCTGCATACAGAAGGCCCAGAGCTGGAGATTCTGCTGTCATCCGCGCGACGTTGCTTCCTGAGGGCAGCCCGACCTCATCGACGATCGATTGCAATGGACGCTGAGGGGCATCAGGGTCAGCAAAACTCTCACCGCAGCTCGCATGACAGACTCACGACCAAGGCGCGCATAGCCAATTCGCGCGACTTTAGAACCCACAGCGCCCAACTAGCCAAAGCTTTGGAGCCCTCATTGAATGCTAATGGTAGAACGTGCTTTCGTAGAAGCTTGGTGAATACGAGTCCCTGATCGCTTCCTTCACGAATCTTTGCGAGCGCCAGAGCTAGATGCAGATCGCCAAGGTTGCGCACGCATACATTGACCGCATCTTGAAGGCTATCGCCGAGCATGAAGAACGAGGCGGCAAACTCTGCACGTTTGTCGGGCGGTGACTGTTTGGTCAGGAAGGAGCTACGTGCACCTCACGTCAGTCGCCGCCCAACTCACCAAATCTCCTTTGGCTGAGCAGCGCAAAGGCATTCTTGCAAGCGGCCGTCCTCCACCTCTCTAGCTCAAAGTCATTGTTCAAGAAAGCCAGCATTTTCCTTTGTTCTGGATGCCAAGCGGCCTGTCGCCAGAGGCCCTGCACCAATTTTCTCTTGCCCAAAGCAAAGTAGAACAAGCTGCACTTGACCGGATCTCTCTCCGTTCCGCTGTTGAATTGGGCGCGTGCTACTTGCTCAGCTATCGCATTCAACGCTGCGCGGTCGCGCAACCAGAGAAAGACGCCGCTCGATTGTGCTGCCTGCCACGTGAACTGGTCTTTGTGGAGCGCGGTGATTCGAGATTGCAGGACTTCTTGAGAAGCGCTGTGATACGCGAAAAGGACTTCGTCCGGCACGAGCGTGCTCTCTACGACGGGTGAGAGCGACCTATGACGGTGTAATAGTGCTGCAAGATAGATTCTGCCCATCAAGTCCAGAGCCTGCTTGTGTCCCGCGAGCTAGGCACGCAGAGGCTCGAGTCAGTATCATGGCAGCTGCTGAGGACGTTTCGGGATGCTCACCTCGCCAAGTGTCTGGACAGTATGGATCAAATGCTGCTGCTGCTCGGAGATGAGCCCTACATCATTTCTTGCTTCGAGCATCTTTACGAGTTCTTCCGCCATGGCGGGCGAGAAGGTATCGCTGACGTCCAGAAGGGCGCATCAGCTACCGCGAAGAGAAATGGCCTTGGGGATGGCACATCTACTTACGCGTCATTGGACTCCGAGTCAAAGAGGGGACCCCGCGCCCTGCTTCCACTCTGCTTCTGCGCACCATCGCACCCAGCACAAAGCACTTCGTAGTCGTCCTGCAACAGCCTTAATCTTGGGGCATCATCGGAACGCAGGTCTTTCACGAGGTCAACGATGATATTTTCGGCAAGCTCCATTTTTCCTGCCCAACGTGGATCCATTGCGCAAATTAGCCACTTCGACCTGCCTCGACACGCTGCAGTGCAGACGCTCACCAAGAAGCAAAGCTTGCAGCAAAAAGTCTGGATGAAGCGTTGCGAGCGGGCCAGATTTGCTGGCAGCTTCGATGGCGACGTGTTCACGCTTCGCGTCGCTTTCAGCGTCGCGGTGCTGGGTCTTGGAAGCAGCAACATCCAGTTGAGGACCAAAGACGTGCAAATTTGCACCGCTAGCCACAACGATGTGGTGACCAAGGAAGCAAATGCTGTGAATGGGAAGAGCAAAGAAGCTTCGCCGTTGAAGGCCCGGGTCAAGTTTAGCACGCGGCGAATCGGAGGTTAAACAGAATGGTGTGCCTCACCGTGAACAGTCCACACTCGCCAGAACGTCCCACGGTGTCGAATCGTGGTGCAGTGGATGGGCGTGCGACGGGGTCAAGAGAGTTATCTTGCTGGCCGTGGCAAGTGCTAAAATCTTCGGTGCGCCGTGATTGCGATCAGACCAATCGAGCGCGACAATTGGAGACCTGCGAGAGACGCACAAGCGCGCTTGGTTCAATCAGTACGATCAGCGCCCCATTTCACATTATGCAGCCGCACTCACTCCCATTCACTCAGGTACTCGAGCCCGGAGGAGAATGAAGCAGACTCGACGTTCCAAATAGATACTTGACAATTCTCACTCCCCTCACTCGTCACTGGTACGGGTGTTGGGCATCCGCATCAGCCCAGTTGCGAGAAGATTCTGGACCTCTGCACACGTACCAATGGCGATGAGTTGCCCGTCGTTGGACGCTCGAACCAACTCATGACTCGCAAGGCCGGTCGCGATCTCAAAATTGCGCTTCCAAGGACCCTTGCCCGTCAGGCTGAGTTTCCATCCCTGCATCCGTCCGTGCTCGTCGATAGCTCCCACGCAAATTTCATCCGCAGAAGAGCTCACCGGGAAAAAGTGCGCTGTGCTGCTTGCGCTCGAGGTGGGTGCACCCAAGTACTGCGCTTGGACGCTCTGCCATGTGAGCAAGCACACCTGTCCTTTCTCGCTGAGCAAAAGAGCTACGGGCTTATCTGCCTCTTCGTGAATTGCAGCACTTGCAACACGGAGCTCTGCCGGCAGATCGTAATGCGTCACCTCGTTGGTCGACAAGTCGACAAGAGTCGCTTTGCCGGTCTGGTCATCGTGAGAGAGCTCGTAGCTCTTGCTCAGCGCTATGCAGCCTGTCTGGGCATGTCGACCTTTCAGGCCCCTCTGACCGCCTCGGCTGCAAGCTGTCCATCTGGTGCAGTCAGAACGTGTGCAACTCAGCAGCGCTTTGCCGTCGGCCGATGCGACGAGCTGCTGGATGTTTTCCCGGTGATCTGCAGAGGCATTCTGAGGCGCGCGACTTGTGAAGCCTCCCGGTAAACCTTCAAAGAAAGTGGCGGGACTGATATCGTAAACGCTTGATCCGACGAGCAAGACAGCCGTCGGATCCGCCACAGATCCGCTCGAGGTCGACATCGTTGGGATCAGATGCACATCCAGAGCAGTATTTGGTATTTCAAGATCCAGACCGACGGAGAGTACAGTGTAGAGCGTGTAGAGAGTTGGCGGAGCTCGATCCACATTCTGCCAGGAGAGTGGCAAACGTGAGTACTGTGACTGACGCGCGATACCCGACCCACTCACTCCCAGCGCCTGGACGACTAGCGATCCATCCTTGAATGCGAGGATCAGATCGGGACACTCTCTCACGCTGTCCAGTCTCTTGACGTTTCCTGCAGCCCACTCTTCGACTTTCGGGTTCCTCTCCTTGAGCCCAACTTCCAGCAGCTGGTTTTCTTTCGCATGCAGTGCAAGGACCCGGTCCAGCGCGATGCCAACATTGGCTGACTGAAGGTAGTGAGGCGCGTGGTGTGAGAAGAGGGAGGGTGAAATGCTGCTCCACAGCCTGTGCTTGTTGGGCTCATCGATGACTGGCACCCAGAACCTGATGCAGCCATCGCTCGTGGTGGTGACGAGCGCTTCCGATTGGCTGGTGGTTGGGAAAGTGTGGTTGGGTGAGTGACGGTGAAGACGAGCATACAAGGCACATCGACTCACTCGGTGCTCTCAGACGGCGCTCTCCAGGTCATGGACGTGATTGGTCTAGAATGCTGAACAGTGTCGACCAGCTTTGGCTTGGCTGCTGTGCCAGCTGGTGTGCCTGCTCGATGTGCCCAGATCAGGACCCTGTCATCGTCTTGTGCGTACGCGGCAAGCTTGGTGCCTAAAGGGGACCAAGAAGCGGCGACAATGGACGACGGGCAGCTGCGCATCGGGTTGGTGGTGTGCGTAGTCAGCGACCACCACACACACACACATGTTCTCGCGCACGGTTCGCTCGCTCGCTCACCGCCTGCGCCAGACCCTCTGCCATGGACTCGGCGAGCTGAGTGGAATGTATCGCCAGATGCTGATGCTACTCTCGCAGCCCATGAGAATGTCGCCTGGGTCGGATGGTGCGCGGTCGTAGTCAGTGGGCGACTCGAGAGGTAGAAGCAGTCGCGAGGGCACTGCCGAGGACACGCACCTGATCGAAGGTCCAGCGAAGTTACGCGTCCATCCCGCTCATCGACGTCCAGCTGGCTGTGCAACTTCCAAATGCCCGATGAGCTTCTCCTCCACGCTGCGACGCGGCGACCGCAGCAAGCGGTAATCTGACATCCATTGTCCAGATTCAGCTGATGTGCTTGTCCCTATCCACCTCATACACACTCACCACCAGCGCCCCTTCCACGTCGCCAGCGCATACAGCCTGTATGCTCTGTTTCACCGTACGAGTGCTCGAGCTCGCCGTGTGCGCTAGGGGCTGAGGAAAAGCAATGCACTGCTCCACCTCGAATCTACCATTCCTAATGATGATCTCGGTACCCACTGCCTGAACGGTGATCTGATCTCTCAAAGAGGCGCCAGAGAAGGCGCTGGACGTTGCATTCCCGGCTCCATCCGCGGCGAGCTGCCTTGCTGACTGACGAGGAGGCAGGTAGGTGAAGGTGCTATTGATTTGGCCCCACGAAGAGCTCGAGTGCGTGAGCACGGCTGGAGAGGGAGCTGTGGTGGCCAAAGAGGCCTTGGAGATCACGGGGACCGGCATCTCGCGGGGCGCGAATCGTTGTGAAATCGTGAATGAGGGGCCTTCCAAGAATGGCAGCGGCAGTCGAAGCGCGACTCCCGACGCGACTTTAGGTCCGTGATTGCAAAAGAGTCACGCGCGGGTGAAGGTGACAGTTCGAGTCGTGAGTGTGAGTGTGAGTGTGAGTGTGAGTGTGAGTGTGAGTGTGGATCGCAGCGATAGCGAGGCAGCCGTGACAGGTGATTCAAGCCGTGAGGTGCGCTCCTGCAGTGATGCCCACACTCTGCTGCTGTCACTCACGACTGCTGTCGAATCACGAACACGAACGGAGCTCCACGGACCCACCGGTCGCGCTTTCGGACTCGGCTCCACCTCCACACACGCGTCACGCGTGCGCATCCACGAATCACCAGCGCAGCAGGCACACGACATCCTTTACATTCACGTGGGTCAGATGGCGCATGAGAGCAGCCTTGCCCTCCATCGGCATGCTTGATTCATGTGCTTCCACCCGTAGCTCTTTGCTGAGACGCTCCGCATGTGTCTAGCCCACCACAAGCAACCATTTCGCACGCCGGCACCCAGTCAAGATGAGCCATCGCACTCAGCAAGTGAGCCAACACCTCGCCCAAGGCGGCAGATTCCCCAACGCTGGGCTGGTCAGGGATGGTTGGTCCAAGGAGGATGAAGCTACCGCAACCTGCTACTGTGGCAGCGTTCAGCTTGCCTTTGTGCGTGTCCCAATCTCTCATCCTTGTTGGCTTTCTGCTTTTCTGACTCTTCCTTGCACTCACGTGACTCTGATAGTCGACAGTCAAGCCAGGATTGGTGGACACGTTCGTCTGCAACTGCACAGACTGCCGCAAGATCACCGCCTCCATGTTCGCCTCCAACTTTATCGTCAAGGACACGCATCTGAAGCACTTGCGCGGCGAGTCGACGCTGCGCCAATTCGGTCAGTCCGAGACGATCACGTCCGGCAAGAAGATGACGAATCATTTCTGCGGCAACTGCGGAACGCTCATGTACCGCGTCGGCGAAGCTTTTCCCGGTGTCAAGATTCTACGCATCGGCACGGTGGACGACTTTGAGCTGCACGAGACCAAGTTGAAACCTCGCATCGAACAATTCACAAAGGATCGGGTCGCGTGGCTGCATGGCGCGGAGGGGGTACAGCAGGAGAGTGGGAGCTACTACGGATAGGCGCGCATACTCCGAGCGCGAACACTCCAAGCGGGGGGGGGCGGGCCCTCGACTCAGTGCCCTGTTGCTTTCGTAGGGGCGCACATTAGGTGGCATGCTGATCACTCTTGAACATCTCACATGTATTGCTGCGGGGCAGACGAAAGTACAACAGGAGCGAGAGCGCGACGCGATGCGCGACGCGCGACCTACAAGCTTCGAGACAAATTCAACACGATCAAGTCGATCGACGCTAACGATGCTCCCTCGAAGCGCCAGTCTCAAGCCTGGGCAGCAGCCTCGAGATCATCTCGCAGCTCCCTCGCCTTTCTCTGCTTGACGATCTCCTTCCATTTTGCCTGATCATCTTTCCTCTGCAGCGTGCGCGCATCCACCACGCGTCCCCACCACTCGATGTACACCTTTCGCGCTCTGAGGTGACCCCACTTGCCCTGTGTAGCCTTGATGATGCGATCCACAAACTCCTGCTCCGGCACTCTAGCCAGCGTCGCCCCGTTCTCATAGGGCGCAATGAGGTGCGCTTGACTGAGATCCGCACCGCACTTTTTTTCAAAGTACTCGATGATCTTGTCGTTGGGCCACTGCAAGATGGTCGGCTTGCTATTCGCGCCTTGGGCAACAGCAGCACCGGCGTCGCGCGGCGCAACCAGCAATTGCGAAGCGTATTTGAGGGTATTGAGCGATGCCGCCACGTCCCTCTCCAAGGCAGAGACGGTGGCGATAAAGACGGTGTGCGTCGGCTGCTTGGAGGTCAAGTCGAACGCTTCTTTGAGTGCGAGCGTCAGACGCGAGGAGCGAAAGGGAACGTGTGGAGGTCTGGACATGGAAGCCAGTCCATCCGAGAGGGTCCTGTTGCGGATGCAGTCTTTGAGCGTCATTAAGCTCTTGTTGATGGATGCGCTCTCCCCTCGCCTCGAAGCAGAGTGATTCTTGGCCTCTACCGATGCTCTCTCCGACCCAGCCAAATCTACCAGCTGCACGATACCCGGCGTCGCGTTCGGATCACTGGCGTTGCGGATGGTCAGCCTAAAAATGGCGTGGCTTCGACTAGAAGCGTCGTTCCACTCTGTCGCCCCCGTCCGTCTGCTCGACCAAGCAGCGTGCAGCGCGGTCTCCAGCGCAGGCTGATCAGCCACTGCTCGTGCATTCGCCCCTTCGAACATGCTGCGCCCATCCGCATCCTGCACGATCTTGACCTTCTTCTTGCCCTCGTCGAGAAGGTCAAGCACGTCCTCTCCGCATAGCTCGACGGAGCTTAGCTCGACCGAAAACGCGCGCTCTCGTGTCTGTCGAGCGGCAATGTCCTCAAAGAGGACCTCACCAAGCAAAGAGGAGCACTGCGAGAGCGTAAAGGTTTTGCCGGATCCGGTCTGCCCGTAGGCTAGCGCTGTAGCGTACCCTCCCAGCACCGCAAACGGCACCAAGGGGGCGACGAGATCATGAAAGATTTGCTGCGTCTTGCAGCTCTCTTCGTACACTCTGTGGGCCTTGAATGCTTCTTCTAGTGTCTGCTCCTCACCTCTCACGTTGACCTTCTTTGCGAGCGCTAGGGCAGAGGTCGTGCTGGTTGCGCGTATCGCAGGGTCACTGCTGGAGAGGGAAGCATCGCCAAGCCGAGGCTTGATACGATACGCCACTGTGAAATCTCGCCCGCGCGGGTCGACGAGGTTGGCGGAGGTCGAAGCCGCCGCCGGCATTGTTTGCGAGAGGAGCAGATCGGGCGTCGAGATGATAGCGAGATAAATGGCAAGTGTGGTGCGCGGCGCGCGGCGCAGGTATATTGTATCTGGTGTTCAAGATGAGAACAAGATGCAGACGACACTTGCGAGTCGGGACGATATAGATGACCTTTGACTCACGACTGTGGAGCATCTTAGAGCGCTTGTGGATGGCACGGGAGAAGCACAATCGTGAGTCACGAGTGCAACGGAATTATTGGCAGGCGCGGCGACCGTGCCGATAAGACTTCAAACTCGATCACAACTCAGCACGCTGCGCGGTCCCGCATAACAATCACGAATCAGAATCAGAATCACGAACCATATCAATCAGAATCGTGAAAATGACGAATTTGTATCACGAATACATGTCTTCCGCGCTAGCGGCTGCACCTCACCCCCGCGCTTACCTCCTCCTGATGCAGCAATCGCGAGCGCGCTGCCGGCATGCATGCAGAGAGAGCAACACATCAACATCTAATCGTGACAGACGAATCTCGAGCTTTCCGACGGACGGTACGCGCCGTTGAAGCGAGCATGACGCCACCAGTGACGGGACAATCGTGAGTAGTACAAACGCGATTCCGAGTGAAGGGGGGAGCAAGTGTGTATGCCTGCGGAGGTATGTGAAGGGGAGCAAGCAGTCAAGCATGTTGAAAACCAGATGCTCTCGGTTATTTAGGAGCTGACACTGAGGAGGCTTGAGGAAGCGGCGAGGAGGAGGCTTGTTGGGTCCCGCCCAGAATCTGCCATCGACGAGCGTTTCAGAGGCTGCGAGTGTTGATTGTTGTGGAAAATCTTGATGTCGGAGCAGCCAGCACTGTGGCGACTCGAAGATTTCATCCGGTGGCCGCCGTCTTCTGGGCCTGTAGCTCAGCTGAATAAGGAGGCAGCCGCAACGCCTAGCAGCAAATGGCAGCCACGAGCCGCCAAGCGAACATCCCCACTCACAAATCACCCGCAGCGACTTGCCTGCTCTTCTTTTGCAGGTGCGATCTTGTTGTGAAGCGATGAGCGAGTCCCATGCATCGAGGTCCGGTCGCCGGGGGTGAGTGATCATGCGCAGCGCCTCCAGCGCGTTACCAACGATTGCACGCGCGCGTAGGCTCCAGCAAGAAGCGCCAAATGCGCCGTCTTGCAGGTGCATGGGCGCATAATATTCGCTCGCAAGGATGAAGCGCAGCATTCAGACCGGTCAAGACGCCGCGCGCCCGAAGAATTTGCAGGAACTCACCTCCATGCATGCCCACGAGCGAGCGATGCAGACCAAGTACATAAGCGCTCTGCTGATGCATGCTGCATGCACGCATGCACATGGGCTAAGCCGCCACGCGCAAGCTGCCTAGCCGAGAGCAAAGCGCTCGCGCGGGATCCTAATTCGCCCGCGGGTGATGCACGCACGCTCGAGAAGAAGGTGGAGGGAGTCGTGAGTACAATCGCCTGCAACCTGGTGCGAAGGGCGCCCAAAGATGGTTGCGGTTATATGAGCAACGAGTCGTGAGTCTCGCGTCACGAACAAACGTGATGAATCGAACGAGACTAGCATCCACCACCACCACCACCACCACCACCACCACCGCATCAAGTAGTACATTCACATTCACGAGTATTGACAGCTCGCCTTCTCTGCTTCCCAAAGATCTCATCTCGATTGCCGCGTCGCATCTTAGACTGCCAACTCAATACCTTTGTCGCACCCCGTCGACTCGATCGCACAGCATGCCTGCAGAGGAGGTACCGCACCTGCCACCCGAGCTGCAGACGCTGATTAGTGAGCTCGCGGCAGAGACCGATGTCTCGTCTGCGCTGGCCCTTTCCTCCACCTCAAAGATGCTGTCCACTTCTGCTGTCAAGTCACTCTTCTCGCACCCATTCCTGCACACGCTTGGTCAGGTCAAGAGCTTCACAGCTGCCCTGCGGAGATCACCAGAGTTGAAGCCTTTGGTCAAAAGTCTGGCAATAGAAGATCGCTACTTGCACCTCTCCACCAGCATAGCAGACTATCCTGATAGTCATGACTTTGACAAGCCGGACGAGCGCGAGCCAGCAACCTTTGAGCTTTGCGAGCTCATCGAAGATCTCGTCACGTCGCACAATCTTCGCGCGCTGGCTCTTACCGTCACGGGAGCAAGAAACTTTATCGACATCTTCGAACAACCCTCACCGGCCAAGCAGCCTTTCACACAGCGCCTGGCTCTCGATAAGCTTGCGCTGACGGGAACCGATATCCAATCATCATTTCTCTTCAAATGGTTCCACTCTCGCCAGCTCATACTGTACACCTGTGACGACGCCATGTGGGGAATGGGTACATTCAACAACGTTCGTTTCAGCACATGTCCTAATGATAGTGACAGTCATCCAGGGCAGACCGTATCAGCTCCACTAGAGCTGATTTACTGCGTCGGGAACGTGAGCGGCCACGTGGGCGAGGAGGCTGCCGTTCAAGCGCTTCTACCACTCCACAAAGCGCTTCTAGGCCGGCACACCAACAACAAGGTGGATCCGCGATTCGAGAGAGTGGTGCTTCGCATGCGTCGCAGTCTCGCTTCGGAGGCGCAAGTGCAAGCGATAGTGGAGAAGGGCAGGAATCTACTGGACGCGCCCATCGAAGCAGCAGGATGGGACACTAAGCAGGCAAAGACCCAGATCGAAGCGGAACAGTTGGACTTGACCAGCGGTGCATGGCTTCATATCGGCGAAGCGAAAGATTTGGAGAAAGACGTTGAGCAACTCGGCGACTTGAAGAATTGGTCTGACGACGACGGATCACGCATTACAGAGTATGACGCAGAAGATTACGACGAGGGAGCGAGCTTGGCGGATGAACAAACCGACGCCTTGCGCGACGCTCTGCTTTCGTGACTTGTCTCCTCATCACCTATACATCACACGTCGCGCTAGCGATGAGATTCCGTGTATTCCTGCGAGCCGACTCGAAATGCTCTTGCTGTCAGGCTATACGCGTACGTCTGTCAGTGCCGCCGCTCAAAGTCACTCGTTGATGCATCGAGCGCGAAGATTGAGCGCGAACATGGCGTGTCTTGCAAGTTTATCGGCTCATATCGACTGCGCAGCAGCAGTGCATCGCATTTGAAGCCTCTGCAGCATGCATCATCTCTGTTCTCGGGACAAGTCCGCGCTGAACGGAACTTTGCGCGTGTACGCACGAAAAGTCCCGTCTGCGAGGTTGTCGACTCGGTATACATACGCGAGTGTAGCCATGCATGTAGCAGCAAGCAGTCACCAAGTCGACTTTGAATCGAGCGGCGATCGTATGCCGCCACCTGACTTTCTGCGGGCTTGCTGTCGCGAGTCGTGAGAGTGGGGAGGGGAGTGCATGCAGCATGGGCTCACTGCCGCGCACGGCTGCACCCTTCAACGCTGCGCCTTCTTGCATGCAGCAACTCTATGCAGGCACCAGGTAGGCGTCTTGACGCGTTGGCCCGCGCGCCCAAGAAGTCACGAGTGCAAGTGCGGGTGATGGCAGGGGGGGCAGAGTCGTGAGTCGCTCATCTTGACTGACCGCGTATGAGAGAGATCGGAGGTTTGCACTGCACGTACGTAGCACGCCCGCTGCATGCATGCATGCATCGTGAGTTGTGTAGGCGCCGCCGAGACGGGGATTTTCTTTTTGCGTCTATACTGTGACTACACCTTACATACCCGCGCAAAGTTGGAACGATGCGCTGCCGCGCCGAAAAGCACACACGTCCACATTGAAGCACGCTACAGGATGCATATGTGCGTTGGCGTTCGGCAAGCACCAGTACGTGACTAGTGGTCGTAGGAACGTCGTACTCCTACAGGGCCGCCGGAACGCTCTGTTGACACCCGAAGCGGAGAACGGAGGGATAATCGTGACAAATGGCCCGGAGCATTCATGCCGCCGGGCGTCAGCGCGAGCCAGTCACGAGTCGTGAGTCACTCTTGACTGGCAGCTCGACACCAGAAGACCACGATCAGCGCTGAAGTGAAAAAGGTACTTAAAGGGGTCGTTCTGCTTCAACAAAGCACCCATCCGCCCTCATCCAACGGTCATTCTTCTTCGCTCATCGCCTTGTGCAAACTTTTTCTTTTCTTTTTTCACTTCTTTCACAAACTTCTCCAGACCTCGATCGTGCTGCTGGCAGCTCGTATCTTGCTCTCGAAACCTTTTTAAGTCCTTGCTTTCGCACTGCAACTTGCCTTCGCGCAATTTTCCACCAGAACACACCTTGGCCACATCCCGTCACCATGCGCTTCTTCCTCATTGCTCAACTCGCACTCTGCATCGCTGCGCTTGCCGTAGCCGCGGCTCCGATTCCTTATGGACAGATCGACGAACTCGTCCGCCGCGTCAACGTCAAGGTCGAGCCCAACGTGGGCAAGAAGAATGCAGCAACAGCGCAGGCCTGTGTGGAGGCGTACTGCAAGAACAATGTCCCTTCGGCCGACTCGGCCACGGTGAGTTGCAAGCGTGTCGTTGCACAGTGACTGCATCCGCTCATGTCGACTTTTCACTGTGACCACAGGTGTTTGACAACCTCCACAAGAGTCCATCAGACAGCACCCCGCACTACACGACGTCCGTCAAGGATGCCAGCGGCAACTACATCAACGGCTTCGCACCCGGCACTACGCCCGACAATGGCCAAAAGGCGCCCATGCACCACGTCGACGCAAGCGGCAACCCTACTCCGCAACAGCAATCAGTCATGAATGCGAACGGAGGAAAGTTCCCCATTTGAGGCAAAAGAAGAAGATTCCGAGCCGCTGGTGCCGTACCATTGCTTGATCTCAAGACAAAGAGGAATGTCCGCTGGCGTTTTGTCTGCAATCGATAGCTTGCATTGTGATCACGATCGCGCGCTCAAGCTCGCGCCACCTCTGACGAGCGGCTTGCTGTGTATCAATGACTCGAAAGCGTGTCGATCGAAGTAAGGGTCACCTGAGGTACACCTTTGAGTGCAAAATGATCAGCTTCTTGCGCGGTCACGGTAATCGATGGATATCCATGCAACGCCCAACTGAGTCACGCTTGCGCATTGTCGGGTCGGCGGATCATGCCCGAGGCTCCCGCACACGACGACAGCGGCTCGCTACCTGGGACAATGATGGGTTAGGGTTATTCACGCGAAGAGTCAAATGGTGGTAAAGGTCTTAGATTGCTCAGCTCTATGATATGGTCTCACGGGTGCAGAAATAGGGGGTGCGGCGCGTAGTCACGTGACCAACACCCTTCCTTTTTCAACGATGACTCTCTCCTCTTTGCATACGACTCGTGATGAGCAAAGCCTGCATGAGCAGCAGCTTTCAAAGGGCTGGATGTCGCTTGGCTAGCCGAACACTTGACTGCAGTGTCGGATGTTGTCTATTTAGGTATTTGCCCACGATGCTGCCATCTTGCAAATACGCGGCGCCGCACTTGTGCGGCATTTCACATTCGATCGCCCATCGGGAGACCGACGCCTGGCAGGCCAAGCGCGTATGACCGGCCACTTACAAACGGCTCCCGCTTTTGCATGGCTGCCCGGCTGATGCGCACACGAAGCTCACGATTCGTACACTACCTCTATAGCAGCCAACGATTACCGTCACTCTGCAAGAGATCGTGCTTAGGACGGTATGGGACGCCGCCGAAGTAGCGATCTCGGATGAGCGCAGCCTGCCCGAAAGGTGCCTAATATTCTCACGCAACAAGTGATCGCCCGCGGCCCCTTTTCAATTGCAACGATGCCACATCGCCCAACGCATTTCAGCAAGCGCAAGGCCTGGATACAGTCGGCGAAAGGAGATGGCGCTGCTCGAGCTTGGCATGCAGGTTCGATTGTGATCATACCCCTTGGCATTGGGACCAATTTTCCACAAATTTCGCTGGCCAGGCAAGAGCCAGAGACAGGGTCTTGGATTGGTGACCTCGTGCAGACCTCAATCGGGTCATGCGCTGGTGCTGCATCGCGGCTGAGGTTGGCGGCGCACCTGCATTAGCGCCGCTCTGGCGGGCAAGGCGCGGGCCTTCTGCTGCATTGAGCGGCCATCCGCTGCGAGGTGAACCGCCAAGCAAGATTATCGTGGTCCCAGCGCGATGGAAGAGTTGCCTCGCGAGAGCTTCTCAGCTCTCAAAGAAGCCAGCTCTCAAAAGGTATAAAAGAGCTGCTGACATCGAGCTGAAATCTGCGATACGACATCTCACCCTCAATTTGCTCTTCTCGTTCGGCATTTGCCAACTTTATTTTTTCTTCTTCTCTTTTGCTCTTCTCTCGAGATTCTCATCGTGCTGCCGGCAGCTCGAATAATCTCTCCCGATTTCAGCCGCTTGCTCGCTTCAAACGACCGTCTGCCCACAGCCACACATTCGCGATTACAACACCTTCCCCCACTTTCTCGAGACCAAGTAACAGCCGCGCAAGATGCGTCTGCTTCTACTGCTCCAGGCCGCGCTCTGCGTATCTGCCGCTCTGGTGGCGGCCGCGCCCATCGGACGCATCGACGAGTTGATGCGACGCATTGAACTTACCGACATTACAACTGGACCTCAGGTAGGCAAGGATCCGAACAAGATCGCCGCCGCAAAACAATGCGTCAAGGATTACTGCGATACGCACGTGCCGGGCGCTGTGTCTGCCGAGGTGGGTGAAAAGTCTTTTTCTCGATTCCAATGTGAACCTATAACCGGAGTACATCAGACTTAAAAGACACCCTTTTCCCGCACAGGTGACCATGGGGCCCCATCCTAGCCCTTCGGATCCCACCAAGCACATTACGACCAACCTCAAGGACAAGAATGGCGAATTCATAAATGGCTTTATGCCGGGCACTACGACGCAGGCGCAGGCCGACGCTGATGGAGTCAAGAAGGAGGCGCAAAAACAAGCAAAGAATCCTAATCGCGCGCCAAACCCCAATCCTCCCGCAAATCCTCCGGATCATCACGTCGACCCCACAACCAATGGACCTACCCCTCAAATGCAAAAGGTAATGGGAAAGAACGGCGGAAAATTCCCGATCCCCGCGCCGCCTTGAGCTCGATGATCGTGGGGTAGAGGAGAGCGCGCGCGCGCGCGGGGAGGGGCTTGCAAGAATCGTCGAGATCGAAGCGTACGGCAGGCGAGCGACCGAAGCGCACGGCGTCTCGCCTGAGTTACGGGTGAATGCTGGCGGCTATTCTCGCTTGCTGTTCCAAGCGGGCTCTTGACGAGATCATGCGTGGCGGAGTGCGGACTTGTTTGTTACGAATGAGCTTGCGCGTGCACTTTACACTGCAATGTGATCGTCGTTTTTCAAACGATTTCGAGATCATTCACCGTTGCTGACAGTATGAACTTCCCGGCATTCTGATGCAGAGGAGACCTTGTTCCACCCACATGAGATGATGGATGCATCGTCATTCGGTGGTGAGTGTGTTTGCGGGTATGTTTACATCTCTTCGACATCAAGGAGGCGATCGATGCCTGCTGGATCTGAACACTGCAAGTGCAAGCCGTCTCTTTCATGAAACATGCCACGCAAAGCGTAACAGCAAATGCGCAGCTAGGATCCTCACCCAAAAGGCGCATTGACTTCCATCACCTCGTGTGTGTGACAGCGCTCTCTACGAACTACAACAGCCGAGGATGGCCGTGCAAAAGAAAGATGTAGAGGAGCTCTATCGCGGTGCGTTGTTTTCCCGAGTGCGAAAAAGGACCGCAACACGAAAAGCCGCGTGGTGTGGTGCCCGAAGAGGGTCGAGGGCGCGGCTGCTGCTTCCTAACCCCGACGCTTGGGATTTGACGCGCGTGCCGAGATGCAGACATGCGCGCAGTGTGCTGATCTCGAGACGCTACGCAGCACCGGCGGAAGCCTCGACTCGACGCGGCCTTATTACTTGCATCGGCACGCGCGTCGGGAGATTGGGTGCTTGACAAACTCAAGGTCGGACACGCTAGCGACGGCGCATCTTGGAGGTACAAGGCGTGGAGAGTCAGTCTTGGCAGACTGTTCCGTCTCACTCACGACTCCCAGCGGCCCATTCGCAAAGGAGCACGGTCGGAAAGGTCTTGCGACAAGGACCGAGGCTATAGGCGAAGCTTGCAAACGTTTCACGCTAGACAGGTCCGCCAGCCCGCGACCGCAGACGGCCGGTCCGAGATGGCTGAGCAAAGCGAGTCTATACAAGCTCGCAAACACGAACTGCAGCCGCGCTATCGCAGCGTCTAGATGAGACTGGCTGATCATGGCCGAACGCGATCGACGAGTGGATGGATGCGAGAGGCGATTGATCAGCGCGCTCGGTTCGGGCATTTCCGCAGAGCAAACAAACGCTGCCACACGCAAAAAGCATCTGGACCTCGGATCCGAGTCGTCATTGCCTTGAGAGACGGTCTTCCGATGCCTTGACCATACAGAGCTCACCGCAAGTCTACAACTGGCAAAGACGATGCGAAGGTGAAAGATGATACTTTCTCCAACCGCGAACCAGACGGTACGCGCCGTCAAGGGATCTTTTCTCAACTTCCTAGTCCGTCTGCGATAATCTGCGACACTCAACATGACGAAGGCTATCGACGGGGTGTCAGCGCTGCGACGACTCAGCGCGTCGGCGGCAAGACGTCTGCGGCAGCAAAGCAAAGTTTCACGCTCTATGCGTCATCTATTGGTCTGGATAGAGGGGCCTACATGAAATCGTGGCGTTTGCATGTATGCCTGCGCGCGTGCGGCAGTGCGGCACCCGACACAGAGAGCCACACGGAACTTGCAATCCATACATTCAGATTTCGTTGTAGGCTTCCACGCCACCCCTCAATCCGATCGTATTCAGCAAGATCTGGCATCCCATTACCAGGGCACTTTGACGAGAGAGTGACTCTCGCGAGAGTTCTCCGGGCACTCTACCCTGTCAAGACAGGTACCGAACAGCTTGTCCCACACGCGTGTCTGCTTGCCATAATTGCCCGAGCGTTTCCAACCTCGTCGATGGTGCAAGTCGTGATCCTCAATGACGAGCTCGAGGCCGAGGAAGGGAAGTAGACCGAAAGCTGCAGCTGGGGGAGTGCCGATGATGCGAACTCCAGAGTGACCACCTAATTCGATGACCATGACGAAGATTCCGCACAGGAACCAGTCGTAGAAGTTCAGAGAGAGATGTGGAATGAAGCTCATGGTGTAGTAGGTTAGCATAGGTATGAGGGCAATGTCGAATAGTTCTTGCTCGGCGTCTGCAAACAGACTTAGCATGGCGTTCGGATGTCGAGTCAAGTGATGAGTGCGATGAAAACGCCAAAGGAACCCTATCTCGTGCATGGCCCGATGATACCAATAGAACCAAAAGTCGAGAATGAGAGGATACGCAGCGATCTGGAAGGGGAGCATCCAGTGCACGCGCGGTTTCTGTCGTGAATCCCATGCCAGCATGCAGACCATAGCTGAACGAATCTCTGCCGTGTTGATGAGCGACATTGCAATCTTTCCCACCGAGTCGTCTGGAATGCCATCGCGCTTCTTTTGTCCATCCAAGAAACCGTGGCGATTGCCGAGCTCGCGGAAGAGCTGGATTGTGTTGATGGCTATCAGCTTAAATGCGGCACTGTAGAAAACGAAGACAAGAAGCGGGTGTCCGGCTTGTTGAGTCCAAGCTGCAAAGAGAGCGTGGAGCGCAACAGGTGCAAAGGCTCGAGGGATCAACCATCTTGCCAGGTCCCGGCTTCGCATACGTGGAATCGGCTTTTCGCTCATCTTTGAGGGTTGCGAGGTCTGAACGATCGCATCTGAGTCGCTCAGCGATGCTTCGGCTTTGGCGGATGGAGGAAGTGGATACATGCCAAGCGTGCTGATGAGCCATGTGGACCAGGAGGGGGTGGCGCCAGAGGCGTGAGGCCAGCTCTCCTGCCAGTTGGTCTTGTAAGAGTGAGCGATAGCAAAGTTCATGGCGTTTCTGAGAGGTTGTTGGGATGGGAGACAGAAATGATGTGAGAGGGCGATCTTCGCGATCCGCCTTTTATCTGGCGTCATCAATACCTCCGGATCAGACACCAGTGCCTCGGGATCCACTCGGCATGACGAAATGATTGCCTCAGCACTCAGCGGATGAAAGCAGGCTGGGACAGCTTGCCAATTTGGCGCGCGTCCTGGGTCGGTCGATTCCGACCCTCGGGAGCTGAGTAAGCCAATTTAATTTGGGAGGTTGCGAAGATTCTGAGCAGAGCTCGGATGAAGGGCCTGCAAAGCGCCGAGCGGTGAGAGTTTCTGCAGTCCGATCTTGGACTCGCAAGAACAAGCAGACCGACTTTCTCCCACCCAGAGCACCTCGTGGGCGCCGACGGTCTGTTCGATCTGGTGGGAATGTTGGCCGAGCCGCTAGGGCATCTGGTCCTCCGCCCTGGACGGGGCCTCCACAAAAAAGGACTGCTCAGCAATTTGGCTGAGCGCTGCTCAGCAGAATGGTGATGTAGGTGCGAAAGACGGCTCTTTCACGCTGCTGGACAGCCACGCGTCACCGAGATGGGTGAATGGAACGTCTCTATGCAGCAAGATCTTGAATATCGTGTACAACATGCGCTGACGTGATGCTTTTCTGAAGTGACAAGACTGTGTAAGGACCTGCATGCGTCGGTACCACTGGGGGCTTGATCCAGGCTTGGCGCGCTTGGACGCGCTTGGAAAATCCCGCGCGGTGATGCGCCGAGGCACGAGACGCGCGGCGCCCGAGCGCGCGCAGAACACCCTAGCACTCACGACTGCTTGAACTTGAGTGTGAGTGAAAGCCGACGGAGGTCACTTGCATACGTCCGAAGTCGTCTGCCGAACTCACTGAGTGAAGATGAGTGGATGGCCAGAGTCGAGCAACTTGCGCTTGAAAATCATGTGAGGTAACTGCAGTGTGACCTGGAAAGAAGACACAGGCTGCGGTGCATGTCATTGTGTGCTCCGATCGAGATCTTGAAGTTCGCTAAAGCGAGTCAGTGTATATCCGTATTCAAGCAGGCACTGTCCGCGGTCTGGATATCTCCGAGCACGCAATGATTGGGCATGCAATGTGGGACGGAAGCATGAAACCAGAAAAGCACAAAGACGAGGCGGGTACGCACGCATAGCAATCTGCGTTTGATGACCAGCACGACTTTGCGCGTCATACGAAACATAAGTGGGTGTCGCGGCCTAGGTCAGAGCGAATGGAGATAACCTCAAGTCCCGCATCTACATATTCACGACCGAGTTCAGCAATGATCCGCTTCGCTGGGCGCTGTGCCGCGCGCCATCAGCTTTCCGGGCATCCGGTATCTCGGGCTTGCCGGTCACCAGACTAGAACACTATAAAGAGTCTTGCGAACCAGAGCTGGTTGGCGATGGAATCAACGCTTACAAGCCATCCTGATCGCAGTAGTCACCGTCCTGTGCATACTATTTGTGCCCGAGACGGCGCATCCTGCCACGCTTCTCAAAACCGCTGGTGGCGATGGCTCAGCGACAAGTCGTTCTCAGAGATTTGGTCATTCTGCTCGCGACTTCCGGTCAGCTTTAAGCAAATCAATGGCCAAACCTTTCGTTTGGTTTTTCACGGAGCCAGTTGTCACTTTGATCTGTGTCGAGATATCTCTGCTCTACGGCATACTCTACTCTGCGTTCGAGGCCGTGCCTCTGGTCTTTGTTGGCAAGCGGTCATGGTCACAGGAGCCGACGGGTCTTTTCTTCCTGGCTCTACTCGTTGAGTTTTTCGCTGGCGGCGCCATCATCGTCATAGCTCAGGCGAGATTGTACGCCAGACTACAGCAAAGGGGCCAAGCAGTGACCCCTGAGCATCGTTTTCGCCAAGCTACATGGGTAAGGGTTAGGGTTAGGGTTAGGGTTAGGGTTAGGGTTAGGGTTAGGGTTAGGGTTAGGGTTAGGGTTAGGGTTAGGGTTAGGGTTAGGGTT